TCTTATATTTTGTATTATTTTGTATGTATTTGTATTGTATATATTTGCATTTGTACTTTTTTCAAACTAAGCCTAAATTGTTAGTACTTAGGCCTGTTCATTTTTTGGTAAGTTATTTATCTGGGTAATTGCAATTGCCTATCTGGATAAATTTTTCCTGGAAAATACTTACCTAATATATTTATCCATGTTCTTTTATTTCTCAAATAAATAAGGTAATGACTATTTTAGCCATAGAAATACATTATTAAAATGGACATTTTTGTATCATTCAAGTGTTGGCAAATTTTCCCTTATGTGGAAAAGTTATTTATCCACCTAGGAGATGGGTATCACTTACCTATAAACTTTCCCTACTCTCTACATAAAGCTAAAAAAAACATGGGATTAAAAGAACGCCCCCTTAGTAGAACTATAGAATTGTGAAGTACCATTCTATTTCACAAGCTGGAGAGAGAGAGAGAGAGAACACATTTCAGACACCCAGCCTACAAAGTCCAAATCAAACAATAAGACCATGTTTTCGGCTGTACATGTGTGGATTAGGCTTAACTTGGGCGGATGCAACCTGAGTCCAACCCAATGCAACCAGAGCTTTACAGCTTGAATTATAACTTATAAGGCTCTGGTTGGGCCTGTCCTGGACCTAAGTCCGAAGATTTGGGATTAACCTGAAGTCGAGTTAGGCTTGAGTTGAGTTGAGGCCTCAGGTAGCCTGGTCCATCCAAGTTCCAACCCAACCAATGCCTGATCCAATGTAGGCCCATATTTATGTATTTGCAAATCCGAGCCCAGACTTATGGATAAACATGTACAAATTTAATTAATACAAATAAAGGTAGATGTATTTTTTTCACTAAGTTGGACTCGTGTCAATTATGTTATGTAATTATATATGTATTATTTATATCTATATTATCTATAAAAGAGCGAATGCCCTTCTTTTTAGAATTTTCATGGGACGTTTTCTATCCACTTTTTCTAAGCATACAGTGGGCATAAAAAGGGCATATGTGTTATTTATTCTCACTTCAGAAGCTACCCACTTATAATGTTCAGAACTGCCCACTTATAACCATATAAGGAAAGGTCTATTAAAGAGTCTTTACGACAGTGTCATGGGGATCAAAAAGAGAAATAACACGTACAACCCCCACACTTTATCATCAATAGATAGATAAGCCTTAAATAAACACAGCAAATGCATGAAAGTATGAAACAAAACAAATCTACCTTCATCGAAGGCACTGCCACGTGCAAATGCACGTACACATTTACTATAAATTTAAAAATACAAAAATAGAGTTTTTTATGACTGTCCTAGAAGACTTTAGGACTGGGTTCGGGTTTAGTTGCCTCTGTGGGTTTCCAAACCAGGGCATGCTAGGGTTTTGGTTCTCAGTCTAGCCCGGTTGGGCCCAATTCTGGACCAGCCTCAATAAAACCCAACATTTGGGCCTGGTTGGTTGCAATTATGGATGTATAGTGTATGTATAGATATTTACCTACATATAAAGATTATATATAAAACTGGAGGGTATAATATATATTTAACTGCAGACATTAAAATGATTTTCTATATACTTATGTATTAGACATTTATATTCAAGGATAAAACCCAATCTTTTTAATGATTTTTCTTGGGCGATGAAGGTCTAATAACATGCTGAGAAGTATAAGGAGTTAGGGCCCGTTTGGTTCATGGGAATAGGGGTCTGGAATTGGAATCGGAATGGGTCATTCTGATTCCAATTGTGATTGGGTAGAATCAGAATCTCATTTCCGTTCTTGGTAAAATGGCATTCTCTCATTGAGGGAATGGTCATTTCCTCACACTCTCTTGGGAATAAAATTCCATTCTAACTAATTCTAATTCCCATTTTGATTCTTATCTGAACTAAGGGAATAGATTATTATGATTCCAATTCCAATTGCAAATCAAACGGATCCTTAATTTTTTTTTCCTTACCTTTTATTTTTCCTTGTACAACCGGATTAGAAATGTCAACGGATTGGGTCAAGTGATAAACCACACTGACCCAATATTAACCTTACGGGTTAGGGTCAGATTCGGGTTAAAATAACCCATGCTTATCTAAAAAAATACACACACATGCTTGTTTAAATATAAAGGTAATATATGAGATGGACCGGACAAGGGTGAACCGAACCCAATCCGTTGACATTCCTTGGCCAGGCCATGGTTTTAATTAATAAGGAAGGCTGTAGGCAGTGAGGATGAATATCAAGACAATAGCAAGGATGTGTGTATGTTTCATGTTACTGAACCAGTTGCAAGTATTTCTTCTTCCACTTTTGCTATGATATGGTTTTGACTATAATAACGGAAAGATATGATATCCCAAAAATTTGTGATCTATCAACTGGTACCATAAACGTGTTAACTAATAAGGTAGAATTTATTAAAATTCATATTATATCTTTTAGGTATCATACATTTTCCCTTTAGGGCTCTTAGCTCTCCATGAATTCATGACTTTCGATGTATTGGTATAGCTCCACATTAAATTAGATAAAGTGGCATAGACTATAACAGAGTCTGGATCCCCTCTCCACAAAACATGTTTGAGATGTGCGGTTATAAATCGTGTTGGGAGCATACATGTTTGCACATGTTTTGTTGGGAGTAGATTCCAATTCGCCACAGCAATACCCTGCAACCCCTTTTATTCTTCACAGGGTTTAACTTGAACGAATCAAGACTCCCCAGTTAGACCTACCGTCTTGCACTAAGAAAAAGTTGCATCCAATTAGGGCTGTCAATGGACTAGATATCAGTCCAATCCAATCCAGTTCGGTATGAATCTATTACAGATGGACCAGGTCCAATCCAATTCAATGAATACTTTCGACCATTCTGGACTGGTCCAATTTCATGTCTAGAGTCTGGACCATCCGAACTGTTCAAATTTGTTTTAATTTAGAGTGGGTCTAACGTAACCCAAATCTGATCCATTGACACTTGTACTCTTATCTTATGTTAATAGATCAGATATTAGTTCAACCCGACCTAATTCAATATAAATCCATTACAAATGAACCAGGTCTAATCTAATACAATAAACACTTTGGACCATTAGTTCTACACTTGTCCAATTTACTATATCTTATTAGTTCATCTAATCCATTCAAATTGACTTTGATTTGCATGGGTCCAATCCAAACCCAGCCCATTAACACCCCTACACCCAACACCTTGTTGCTTCTTCTACCCATTAATTATTGGAATGTATGAATACAATCAATTGAATTTCTAGCCCTTAATCATTTCTCCACCTACAGCTAGAGGGAGAAGCAGCAAACAGTTTATGATGGGTCCCTTAATGGGTACTGCAATGGGCCAAGACAACTAGTAAATTATACATATATATAAAATAGAAGTCAAATCTTCCATTTTAGTTAGTTCATAGAACCACCGAAGAAGTGAAAAACACATTACACAGCTTCCACTCTTGAGAATTTCACAGATTTGGGATCTGGATGAATTAGACAAAAAGTTACAATGCGGGCTACGTAGCAAGCAAAGCAAAGATCCGATTCTCTGAATTGGTCTGTATTTACTTGTTTGAAGATGCATTGTAACCAGAAGATCCAAATTAATGACTGTTGATAATATCATGGTTTTCAAAATCATACCAGAAAACCGGGAATCAGTCAGGTAATCAATTTTATTGCACCCTAAAATTGCTTTTTGACCAAAAATCATTGATTTGGTCAGCGACCTACTAACACGGGTGGTCGAACTGTAAACCTGAACAACAGTTTTGACCTTTTTTTATTTTTTTATTTTTTAAATTAAAACAGGCCATCTATTCAAACCAGACAATCAGACCATTTAACCCAAAAACTAGTCTACAGAATGGTTCCCTGTCTGGTCCGATTTTAAAAACCTAGATTGGACTGGGTTGGGAGCCAGAACCTTGGGTTGATTTTGGGCCTAGGACTAGCCTGAGCCGGAAGTATCAATGATCAATGGAAGCTGGGTCCTGTTCTCTTGCACTTCCGGTCAGGTGTCCCCTACGTTTACATTTGTGTAAATACTTATTCACATGAGAATACATGGAAGTGTTGGAAGAAAAGAGTGCAGGAGATGATCCAGAGTCCCAGTTTGATTCCAACCAAGGAAAACATCCTTCTACTGAATTTGTTTTGATTCCAAGCAAGCTTGAGAGTACAACGTTTTAAAATAGGGGAACAAGGTGCCTTTAATTTCCTGAGGCACATTGATCTCGAAAACTTATTTTGAAGGAACATCCAAATGGAAGTTATAGCCTCTAGATTTGTACATGTATATCAAATATGTAACTTGTGACCCATTGATTGGGTTAAACGGGTCAACGGTCAAAACTGCTCATATCAAATGGTTTTTGACCAGGTCAATTGTTTTTTTACCAAATGACGGTTTTCATGCAAATGGGACCCAGAATCTTGACCCGTAACCAAAGTTCAAAGTATCATGATATGCCTCTAAAGAGGGTGTATCGGGATTCTGACCGGTTTAAGGGGTGGAGGAGCCTTAAACCAGCCCCCTGAATCAGTTTTAAAAAAAATTAAAAAAACAAAAGTATCGGTATCACCCGATACGCCCCTATCGCATATCGGGCATATTGATATTTTGAACCTTGCCCGTAACGATTCCAACAGTTCAGCCGACCAAATCAACGGCGGGTTAAAAACAGAGTGAGGGTGTTGAATGGAATTTTAATCCAATCAAATTCATGGATTATTTGGACCCAAATCCAATTGACCACCTTGAGGTCAACCAGAATATATAAAACTTGTCAAACCTAGACGGAAATAAAATAACCAAGAAACAATGAGCACCTACCTTTCGGTCCTGGGTTTCACACAAAAAAGTGCAATCCCTTTGCATTCAACTCAGCCTTATCGATTAATCAATTAGACTATACACGCTTTCTGTTTGCTGGCTCAAGTAGTAAAGTAATACTTGACACTGACAGCCTCATCTTCCAACAAAGAATTGAATCCCCTTCAAAGCCAACCTGCAAAGTCAAACACCGCCCAAGTTATATAGCACCAAAGCTCGCTTGTCCAATGCAACCATCAGAATTCCAGAGCAGAGAGAGAGATGGAGTCTGAAGCAACTCAACATTTCAGCCACCCCCATCCCTTGAATCCCTATGATGAAGCACAAGAAAGCGATGGGATCCGGTGCTCGGGCTGTGAGCTAGTCACCTTGGGTTCTTTGTTTGGGTGCGAATCCTGCAACTACTATCTTCATGAAAAATGTCTGAATGTGGGGCGTTGGATGGAGCACCCAGCACACCCCAACCACCCACTCACCCTTCTCCCAGTGCCAACATACCCATCTGGCTCGTTCCTGTGTAATGCCTGCAGAGAGGATGGTAGCTCCTTCAGCTTAAGCTGCGCCCATTGTGAGTTCGATCTCCACGTCCAGTGCGCCTCTTTGCCTCAGACTGTTGTCCATGAAGCCCACCCACATCCTCTATCTCTCACTTTCAGTTACTCAAACCCCAAACTCTCTCACGCCGAGTCGATTGCTTTCAGCTGTGACGTTTGTGGTGAAGACGTGGACCTCCAAGGCTGGTTGTACCTCTGTGTTGGTTGCGATTTCGGAGACCACTTGAGCTGTGCAACCTCCGAGGCACGACCACCGCCACCACCACCACCGGCGAATGAACCAACGAGCGCGGTGGAAGAGATGCATAGATTGACGAAAGAGATGCAGGAATTTCAGCTTGCAGCTGCAAGGTGTCAACTTCAGATGAATCTAGCCAATGCATTAGCATCGACCATGAGAAGGTTTTAAAGTCTGGATCACTTACCTTCAGCTGGTGTACTGGTTTCCCACGTATGATATGGGATTCAATCTGTCTTTAGCCCTGATCAATCACCCGCTCATTGCCTACGAGAATAAAGATCGAGCCCATGAATTGTTCTGTTCATGGTGATGGGCTTCTTATTAAGTCATTGGATATGCAGTTAGTCGTTTGGGTACCATTACTGGTTGTAATAAGCTCTTTGTTTTTCCCATTTCCTCTTTGTTGGTTGCCTTTTGGAGACTCATCTCATAGCAATGCAAAAAGAATAAGATTAACTCTTGAGCAGCAAAGGTTGTGTTTGGGATTTGGGATTAATTAGCTGAACGCAATGGCTGTTCAGCTGGCTGTGGAACCATAACCAACGGTAGTGTATATTTATGGCCCCACTGTAAAAGGTGGGAGATTTATTGTCATGTTAGATGTTAGAATTACTTTAGCTATAATGATTAGACTTCACCCCTAAACAAGAAATGCCAATTTGATGTTTATAAACAGGCTCTCTCACAATACCCGTTTCAACGATTAATAGCCTCAAATAACAACAATTGTATTCCAATTTATATTAATCAATCTAAAACGTTTCAGGTAAAAAAGCAAGGATATCAAGATAGTTTAAGGCTATGTTTGGTTTGAAAAAAACAAAGATAAGAAAAGATAAAAATAAAATAAAAAAAAAAAAACATTTACAAGATTTGTAAAATTTTCCCTACCTTTTCTTTCTTTTTCCTACTTTTTCCTTCAAACCAAACATAGCCTAAAAGTATCTTGTTTACATCAGCCCGCTTGGCATCTGAGAACTGACTCAAGATCATATCATTGTTGGGCCTAGCCAAGCAAGGAGTAGCCTAATGTAACCCCAAACAGAAAGTCAAGTCAAACATCTTTCGAAAGTCAATTAGGCGAAAGGTCAAAATCGTGACATATAAGTATAAACTGTGCAGCTATTAATGAATAGAAGTGGAATTACACCATTTGAGAAGAACCTATAAATCAGGAGAGAGAAAGAGAGCGCTTCAAGTATAAATTAATGAATAACTAGCGGGCACCCATGCGACGCACGGGATTCGTTAAGGAAAGCTAAACAGTAAAACACGTAAGAGTATACAATTATTTTATATTTCTAACTTTTTAAATAATGATTAATTATTTATATTTTATAATACTTTTAATAATTTTTTACAATACAAAAATAACAATAATTTATTTCAGCTAAGCTTGTTCATCGAACTGATGAAACCAACCAATTCGACCCGAATTGTTCAGTTTCTAACATTTCTAGTTGAAATTGGGATCAGTTTCGTTGTGGCTAAATTGACCAAAATCGAATAACCCAATCACAAATACATATTAATATTTTTATATTTTAAATATAATTTTTAATACAGGAAAGTGGGGAAATTCCTATATTTCTTAGTCTCAAATATTTTATATTATAAATTTATTTTTTAATAATGTTAATGTAATTTTTAAAATTTAAAATTAAGTTTTCAATGTAATCTTTTAAACCAATTGAGCAAACCGAAAATCAACCCAAACCAATACAACCCGATTTAGTTGATTTTCAATAATGATCAGTAGATTTCAAGTAACCAACTCCCCAACCTCACTATGTCGATTTGGTTGGTCAAATAAGCTACAACCAAACTAAACCAGGCCATGATCAGCACTCCTAATTTCATCTAAATTAATATTTTAATCTATAATAAGTAAAAGTATTTTTACTCTCCAATAATTATTAAATATTTATAGCAAAAATGCACAATAACTGAAAATATATTTATAAAGAAAGTAAAATAAATAACTAATAAAAATAAAATAATTACAAAAGTAATAAAAAATATATTAAGTTGGTCAATAAATATTGTAATCTCAAAAATACAATAAATACAATAAGTATAATAAATTAAATTTCAAAAGTTAAATAATTGTAGTTCAGTATCCAATAATTATTAAAAAAATTCTGTTAAATAAAAAAAAATATAGGTTTATACATAATTATTGAAAATATATTTATAGAAAAAACTATAAACAATTGCTGAGAATACAATAAATATTAGTTTTAGTATATTAAATTTAAAATAAATATAGATTAATATTTTAAAACCATTATTAATGAATTTTTTTTTTGAAAGTTATTTTTCTAGAATTATTAATTGATATAAGTGAAATTGGTTATTTAACATAGTATTTAGTTATTTTAATAATATCCTTATTTAAAATTTTATAATTTTAACTATTAATCGAATTTAATAATCTATAAACTATAATTTATTCTATTATTACATAATTTCCTTATTAATTTTGTAAAAATTTTAAATTAATATTAATTTCAATATTATGTTATGATTTATTTTTTTTTATTTTTTAATTTATTGCATAATTTCGTTATTTTAACTATTTAAAATATAGTTATGTTAAATATTTCATTCTTTAAAATATTTAGTTATTTAAATATTATATAAAATATTTAAAACTACTCATTATTTGAATTTAAGATATTTAGTTATTGAATTATTTAAATAATATTTTATTGTTTTAATGTTAAATTTTTATTATTTGAATAACATTTATTTTGAATAATCTGAAAAATCATAATTTATATTGTCAGTACATAATTTCGTGATGAATTTTGTAAAAATATAAAACTATTAATAATATGAATGTTATTAAATCTATTATAATTATATTTTGTGTTTTTAATAAATATTTTACATTTATTACCTCCCTGCCTCCACCGGTACCACCTTCTACTTCGCCTGTACAACCAGTTTCGGTAGTTATTACCTCTCCTCCTTGCTGGGTAATGGTGCCATAGGAGAGGAACAGCTTATCCTCCTCCCAACAGATGTTACACTGTCTCACCAACTCCCAACTCCTCCCTCCTCAAGCCTGATCCAACTCTATCAGCTTGAAGACTTATTTTTATTTTTCTTAATTGATCTCTCATCTATCACCTCTTTCTTTACCGAGATAGAAACAAAATTCATAAATAATAATTAGATTAGACTTGTAGATCAAAAATTTGGCACAATAGAAAATACCTTGGAAGTATCAAATTGTTTCTGCAACTACTACCTTCATCAAAAATGTCTGAATGTGGAGCGTTCGATGGAGCACCCAGCACATCCCAAACACCCACTCACCCTCCTCCCAATGCCAACATACCCACCTGGCGCATTCCTGTGTAGTGCCTGCAGAGAGGATGGTAGTTCCTTCAGCTTAAGCTGTGCCCATTGTGAGTTCGATCTCCACGTCCAGTGCGCCTCTTTGCCTCAGACTGCTGTCCATGAAGCCCACCCACTGACCCACACCCTCTATCTCTCACTTTCAATCACTCAGACCCAAAGGCTGGTTGTACCTTTGTGTTGATTGCGATTTTGGAGCCCACCTGAGTTGTGCAACCTCTGAGGCACAACCACCACCACCACCACCGAATGAACCAAGAAGCACGGTGGAAGAGTTGCAGATGACGATGAAAGAGATGCTGGAATTACAGCTTGAGGCTACTATATATCAATGTCAGATCAGCAGTGCCGGAATTTTAGCAGCCAGTTCACCGAATGATCTGGGTCTCTCACCCTCAGCTGGTGTACTGGTTTCCCACATATTTATGGGATTGAATCTGTCTTCAGCCTTGATCAATTCCCACATATTTATGGCAATCCAGCTGGTGTACTTGTTCACAGTTAAACTACCATTAATTACTGGTTGAAAGTCCAAGGCTGGTTCTACTTTTTGTGTTGATTGCGATTTTGGAGCCCACTTGAGTTGTGCAACCCCTGAGGCACGACCACCACCATCACCACCGTATCAACCAACAAGCGGGGTTGAAGAGCTGCAGAACATGGCCAAAAATATGCAGGAACTTCAGCTTGCTGCATCTATTTATCAATGTCAGATCAGCAGTGTCGGATTTTCAGCAGCCAGTTCGCTCATTGGCTGAAGGACACGACCCCTTAGGTGGTATAGTCTGTGTTGTGTCCCTCACCCTCAACTGGTGTACTTGTTTCCGTTTCCCACATATGGGATTGAATCTGTCTTCAGCCTTGATCAATTACCCACGCTTGATGCTTAGCAAAATATATGTCGATCCCATGAATTGTTCATGGACTTATTAAGTCATTGTTAATAGTTAATCGTTTGGCACTTTGATTACCACTACATGTTGTAATAATCTCTTTGTTTTCCTTGTTTCTTCTTGTTGGTTGACTTTGTGGGAGGCTCCAATAATAAGATTTCAATTACTTTGAGTTTCTTCAATTATGGCAATGGAAAATGATAACACTGATGGCCAGTGGATCCTTTGCATTTTCAGCAAAATCAGGAGCCACTATTGAATTGGGTTTCATGGCCTCTACTCCAAGCATTGGTTAGAAACTGGAATCCGATCAGGGATTATCTGATCTGGATCCATTCTGCAGCCTCTACCTGGTATAATCAGCTACTAGTTAATCAGGCGCAAATCCTGTCAGAAATTCAACTTTATAAGAACTTTATAACGATCTAACTCATTCTTGTTGTACACTTCTTTATATATAGCATGTGTTTTCTTACTATAATTGCAACTCTCATTGATCTCTCTGCCCATAGTTTTGGGACATTTACGGATGCTTCTTAGCTGATCCTATTGATCATGATCGAACCAAAAACATTAAAGTTGATGCGAACTTCATTTCTTGCTGTTGCTGGGTTTTGTTCAAACTGCTGGATATGTAACAACTATCTTCACTGAAGAACAAGTTGCTAACATCAGCTATAAGTTATTCACTACTAAGTTCAGTCTTTCTCAGCAGCGACAATCTCAATTTCCAGATAGTAGACCTCTAGGAAGATTGTGTTGAAAGACTATAGGAGGTGTTGAAACAATTGAAATTTTTGTTTAAGAGATATAGGTCAGTTGGGTTCTGAAAATGCCTATTAGCCTAAATTCTAAGAGATTTATATGGCCAATTATTGACTCTCTTTTGGTAGAAAATACTAATTGTTGTCTTTATTAGCCATGGAAATAGGAAAAAAGTGCTCATCACCATTCACTTACTATATTCCTATTCTTGTCAAGCAAGGTAAGGGGAGGTGAGAATAAATTATCAAGAGAAGTGTGCTCCACTAATGAAAAAAAAGGAACATTCTCAAAGAAGGTCACAGCAAGAACAAAAGAAAGACGAAGAAAAGTGTTGTACCATTTATACCCTTTTTGGGTCCAAGAATACCCCAAAAATAAACATCGAAGAGTACGAGAGTCCAACTCATCTGTTGAGAATGCTTAGACAGGGGTATTTTAGCATTTTTCCTCTTCTCTTGTACTCTCTGTATTTGGACGCCCAAGTAGGAGCTTCCTTGTAATTTTCTCTTTTCAAAATATAAAGAACTTTTGAAGGTGTGAACAGTAACCAACACACACCTCTCGATACATCTCTCTTCTTCTTCTTCTTCTTCTTCTTCTTCTAAACCCTAGATTTGTAACTCTTGTTTAGCAACTTGGTATCAGAGCAGGTAAAGGCACTTGGGAATACCTCTCCTTCATCCTCTTCCATGAGGTGAATTGCTGATGTTAGACTGCCACCAGATGACATCAGTAGTCTGTACAGGTGTTGGTAGCAGTCAATGAATCTTACATGGTTTGATTCGCCCTGATTTTAGAGGATTTTTGGTATGACTCTTGTCCCTGTTCAAAGCTTCTATGATTTTTAGTTTTAGTGGTTTTTTCAAGGAGAAAATTGTAGAAATTCCAAATTTGATGTCAAACCTTGTATATCATGTTTAATGACCTTCTACTATAAAACCTAGATCATTTAGGTTGCTTTACACTTCGGGAATGATGGGAAGTGGCCCTGTAATTTTCTAAGCCCTATATAATTTTTGGGAGGCCTCCTTTTTGCCTCTTAACCATGTGGTGACCTTGGTTCTTGGGTTTTTAGCTTTAGTTAAGTATTGGGGATCTATTTGGTTGGCGAGAAAGTGTCTTGGTAGAATATAGAATCATCTAAGGATGTTCAGATGGTTTCTAGTGTGCTCCCGGGAAGTGCAGATATTTCCAGTGGGATGATAACTACTGTTTAACTTGATGGAGCTAATTTTTTGGAGTGGTCTCAATCTGCTAAATTTACCATTACTAGGAAAGGTAAATTGGGATTCATCACAAGAAAGGAGATGAAGCCAAATCTTTAAGACCCAAAATTTGCAAAGTGGGAACAGGATAACTCCCTTGTTATGTCATGAATGATTTGCTCAATGTAACCTCATATTGCCCGAAACTACATTTTCTTCCAACGGTCAAAGATATTTGGGATAGAGTTGTTGCCACTTATTCCCAAGTTAACAATACTACTAGAGTGTACTAGCTTCAGAGAGAAGTTTGCAATATGCACCAGGGAAGAGATCTGTTGTTATGTATTTCTCTTCTCTACAATCTATCTAGAAAAAAATAGATCACTTCAAAACTCTCATATGGAAGGACCCTGAAGATGGTGAACAATACCGGAAGTACATAGAGGAGAATAGAGCCTTTGATTTCTTGGCTGGCTTAAATCCAGAGTTTGATTTTATCAGGCAACATATTCTTAGTATCGTCATTATCACTCTTGCTTCCGCTTACTTCTCTTGTACAAGGGGAAGAAAGTCGAAGGACTGCCATGATGCAACCTCCTATGATTGATCACTCTACCTTTATGTCATCTCGACCTAGGCAAAATACTAGCAAACACCCTATTACTGAGAAGGATGAGGATGTTATTTGTGATTATTGCAAGAAGCTAAGACATACTAAGGAAAGGTGTTGGAGCTCAATGCTCATTTAAAACCGAAGAAGTACAAAACCGGGAAGAAGAGCAACGCTCACTTGGCTACGACCGGTGATGATGCTCAACCTTTTAGTATGCTTGATTCCTCTAATGTAATGGACAAACTCAAGAATATACTGTTGTAGCTAGAAAAGGGTGGCACATCCTCCTCATCCGGTTTTGGACCTAGTAATCCATCTAGTTCATATGCCAAGGAAGGTACTACACTTGCTTGTTCCACATCTTTTAGCCCATGGATTGTAGACTTTGGGGCGAATGCCCATATGACTGGTATGCCTTCACATTTTACCTTATATAAGTTAACTCTAGGGAAGTGCAAGATTACTGTTGTTGATGGATCTCAGACCCCTATTTCGGGTCAGGGTGAAGTTAAACTCACTCGTAACCTTTCTCTTGGATTTGTTCTTCATTTGCCTTAGTTACATAAAAATTTGTTGTCTGTTAGTTCTCTCACAAAATCTCATAATTGCTCAATGACTTTTTTCCTACCCATTATGTTTTTCAAAACTTGAACACGGGGGAGATGATTAGAAGTGGGCATGAAGTTGATGGAGTCTACCTCTTTAATGGACCTTCAAAGCATGGACTGTCAAGCTAGACTGAGTTTTGTTCAAATGAGAAAATGAGCCTTTTGAAATTACGGCATTGTTGCCTTGGTTATACGTCTTTCAATTCTGTAAAACTTGTTTCCAAACTTGTTTGACTCTGTGTCAAAGTTAAATCTTGAATATGAAGTTTGTCATCTATCCAAACAATGTAGAACCACATATTTTGCAAGTAGTAAAAGAAGTAATGTTGCTTTCCATTTGATTCATACTGATGTTTGGGACCCATATGCTATCCTCCGCATGGGTGGGTAGGTATAAATACTTCATCATCTTCATTGATGACTACAGTCAGTATACATAACTCTACTTGATGAAAAGTCGAGATGAAGTTCTTATGATTGTTCAAAACTTCAAGGAATACTTTGAACATCATTTGCATAGATTTCTTGAAGATCGGGACATTATTCACCAAAGTTCATCAAGTCATACTCCACAACAAAGTGGGGTGGTTGAAAGGAAGAACAGGCATGTGGTTGAAGTTGCTCGAGGTTTACTGTTTCAAACTCATGTTTCCACTCATTTCTAGGGTGATGCTATTGAGACAGCCGTGTATCTCATTAATAGACTTCCGTCAAGGGTCATTAACCTTCATTCTCCTCATCAACTTCTTTTCCCTGATTCACTGGTTAAAAACCTTGGAATTGTTTGTAGTATTCTCAGTTGATGATACCAGAAAGTGGAGGGAGATTGCAGAGTTAGGCTCAATCAAGAAGTCCTCAAATTCCTACTGGACACCTTCACCTCATGGGTTCACCAAATTGAATTTTAATGGTAGTAGCATGGATAATCCAGGGCCCTTCGGAATGGGGGGAGTGATAAGAGATGAAAAAGGGAACCTATTAGCTATGTATTCTGGCCCAATTGGGGAGGGAGATTCCTTGAGGGCTGAGATCCTAGGAGCTCTTGAAGGGATACAAAGGGCCAAGGAAATGAACTTTAAAAAGTTGATCATAGAAGGTGATTCTGAAATTGTAGTGAATTGGCTAAAAGAGGGCAATTCTATGCTCTAGAAATATAGCAATGAAAAGAAGAAGTTCAAGTGGCTCACCAAGGATATTCAAATTTGTTGTACATGAATAGTGAGAAGTGCTAATGCACTGGCAGATGGTCTAGCTGGGCAAGGGGTGAACAGAAACTCTATGTTTTGGGTTGTTTTGTAATTGCTCCATGGGTTGGGGTTTATAAG